GAGCTCGATGCAGAGGAAAGAAGGATTTTGCTCGGTTCAACCCCACTTTTGAGGAAGAACACCCTGTGAGTGGTCAGAGGTCACCACCTCTCTTCCCCTTCCACCAACCTCACGAGAGGACTTGCGGTTCAACGGCTATTCCCCCCCCCTGTCGTGAGAGCATTATACATTTACAAACATCGATGCCTTCTTCGGGATTCGATCACAGGCCCCACGGCCTCGCAGTCAGCGTCACTAACCACTACACCGGAAGGGCGGTGTGTGTAAAAGATTACATAAAATTGTAATAGATTATGTAATTTTTAAATTCCTCGTTAAAATCTTGGATAAAAATATGAGCTGAAATATACTGTTATTTTTTTATTTCTTTAAATACTTAATAGTATTTAATTAATTTTCATTGCATTATTTCTCATTTAGTTCTGATGTCTTCTAATTCAATTAAAAGATTCTAATGCTGCTGAACATATTTGAAGATTTTTCAAGGAGTTGGTTCTTTTTCTCAATTTCATATTTCAAATGTAGTTCTATTTCCTAAATGTAAATAGTTTTCTATTTCCAATACAGTCCTTGAGTTGGAAAAAATATTTAGTGAACGATGGAATTCTACTTTGATTTAGCTTTACTGGATTCGTTGTTTATTTACTTATATCTCTATTTCTGTTTGCACAAAAGGTGTATCAATATCCATCGTTGTTACCAGTGGAGTAAATATTTACTCAGGGTGTACATTTAAAATATTGCACTTTTTCTCTGATTTTTGTATATTATAAAATTTTGCTAAATAGTAATTATGAAACTATATATATTTGAGAGAGAGAAAGAGTTACTTTTTTTTTTAAATTTACTTAATAATATACAGTCGAACCCCGATTTAACAAATTCATTGGGACCGAAAAATTTGTTCGTTAATTCGGGCTTATTCAATATACCGAGGTTCAACAAAATATAAATTTTATGCACCTACTTTTTGAAAATTATTTTACCTACTACGGAAAGAAATATCCTTAGTTAGAAATTACACAATTTTTATTTATCAACGAAAAAATACTATTAGCGAATTATTACGCGCATCAGTTAATTGGAAATTTTAAAATACTGCCAAATATAGATGTTTGTAAATCTTTGATTCTTGACTCGAAAGAGTTTTTTTCAACACTAAGCAAGAAAGAAAACAATGCATCATTTGCATCCTTCTGCGTAAGAGAGAGATAGTTTCCAAACAATGTAAAACATTAGAGAATGTAATAGTTCTGATAGGAGTTTCTGTATTAGAATAGCTATTCATTGGCTTCGACAAAAGAACAATTTCCTAAAATTCAGTTGCACATATAAACAGTCCTTCATCAAATGTACCATATTCGTTAACATTTTAAAAGTGTTGTGAATTGGGATGAGATAAGAAATTAATTTCCTGTCCTAATCAAGACGCATGATAGGTTACACTCATGACTCATATATCTGCACCTGTTAAGTCTAATCCTGGTCTTTACCATTTTACGTTGAAATTTACTGAATACAAGAGAAACCTTTTTCTGTTCCGGATAAAATGACTCGTAATTTGGAAAAAAAATCTATTTTTTTCGAATGCAAAATAATAAACTTTTTTTGAGGTGGTAGCTTCCTGAGGCACGTTTTGCTGAAGAGAGAATTTCAATGAAGCGTCAGGTTCGGGTCCACTACGCTACTCGTTTTTTTCGGCTCTAGTCGGAAATCGTGCTCGAATCGCTTAGTTTTGAAATGAAAACGCGTGTTTTTTTTTTTCCATAAGCATTTCATGCACACTTTTTCCGTTAAATTTTATTTTCTTTCTTTGAATCTTACTGTCATTACTTTAAATATTAGTCCTAGCCTTACATTGTATACGGCGTTATATTGTTGTTTCTCATGCCACCTGATCTCGACTGTGTCAGATCCAGGCTCACGAAATTCATCATGGCAAGAAGCTTGATGTACGCTGGTCGTTGGTCGTACCCTTAAACCCCATACTGGTGACAGTATGATTTAGCTTAGGGTACACCCCAATTTAGAGAGAGAACATCTTGGAGGTGGGGGTCAGGCGTCTCCCACCTTTCTTCCCCTTTCACCAACCTCACGAGAGGACTTGCGGCTTGATGGCTATTTAGAGTACCCCCCTGCCGCAAAGGCACTATACATTTACAAACAACCATGTCTTCTCCGGGATTCGAATCCAGGCCTTACGTACAACAGTCAACGTCGCTAACCAGTATACCGGATGGGCGACATGGCGTTCTATAAAATATATAAACGGTACTAGTGTAATATCGCAACAGTACTGACGACATTATATGAAATAAAGCACACGGTTTCCAGTTAAGCACGTGCAAAATCAGGGCTGTTAACTTGGCGAGCTATCTTGAACGTTGGTATTATTGCGATAGTACATAAGTACCATATAAACATATAGTGTATTATAAATTATAAGTAAATCTACATAAGTATACATTTAAATATTTTTAAATATTCAGACAACTTGACATTTATATATGTTTTTATTACATGAACATGAATAATTATTTAAACATTACAGAAAATGGATAAAATAAACAAACCTCCTACTGAATGGCACGAAAAATTGAACTGCGAAAATGTCATGAAAGGAAACATAGTATATTCAAACTATTCGATTTCGTTGCCCAGAATGTATCAGAAGTTTTCATTTCTATCTTGTGGCCATAAGCAATTACAATTTTTTTTCCAGTGATTGAAATAATTCGGGGTTTATATTATTCGTTAAATAGGGGTATTTTGCTTTCATTTTAAAGGAAAATTCTTTAAATAGGGGTTCGTTAAATAGGGATGTATATCATTGAAAATTAGTTTAACATGATTGGGATCAATAGAATAATAGCTTCATACCTAGAGAAAATACTAAGTAATAATTTATGCTTCAAAATACCTTTTAGACGAATCATAATCAATTTCTTCACTCAAATACTAATTAGACTCTTTTAGAGATATGAAGTCCTCTTAAGCGTTACTAAAATCCATACTAATGACATGTAACAAAATATTTCAGATTAATGACATAACAAAAGGCAATTTAAATCTGCATATTTCCAATAATTATTTCTCAAAAACCTTTTCATTGGGATAACAATTTTTAATTAACTATTTTTATTTTTAGATAACAACTATTATTCTAGAAATTTGTTTTTAATTGACAGTACTTAATTACTATCCCAATAACACATATTAACAATTGAATTTTAATGATAATTAGTAAATATTTTTATTTCTAATGGGATGCCAATTGGTGTTTTACCATTGCAGACCTAGTACATTCCCTAGAAGCTGGTATCTCTTTTTCGTGCGGTACCAAATAGGCGGATACCAATCGCTGCAAGTAATTTGACGCCCAGTTTCTTCCCCAGAGGGAGGCACCTGAGCTCCTAATTAGTAAATACTATATTATGAGATTTGTTTAATGTCGAAGCTTGTCATTTGATTCTGGTTTATAAAATTATTTTCTGCTTAACCCTTTATCTACCGCATTATGATTTACTACAGTTTTTTTCATGCAATATTTTTTTGAAACACTTCATTGAAAATTAAGGGATATACATAAGCAAAATACGCAACTTTGGCGACTTTCATCCGTAATTATTTAATCCGTGTTAATTATTTAAAGATATTCAACTGTAAAATTAATTGTATACACTGTTCACTTAAAATAAGTAGTCAAAACATTTTCTAAGGTCTTCATTAACATACAAAAAAAAAATAATAAGACCCTTATCTTTTGACATCAACTATTTTTTTCGGGACAAAAATGATAATCTTCGCATACCTCTGAAAATGCCTTTAGCTGAGAACGCAACTTCTGCCAAAAAACTATTCACCTTCCCCACTAAAATGCTCATCATAGAACCCGTGCTGTCATATATCATGAAAGAGTGGATTTAAAAGAATATTCCTGGTAAGTATCGCAAGAACATTCGTAAAAAAAGTTATTCTATGTAATTTTAAAGTGAGTGATATACTTATAAGTACCGTCGGTAGATAAAGTATTAATCTATAAGCAAGGAATAATTTATATATATATAAAAACACACAGTTAAATGCTTGTCCAGAAGTATATTATTTAACCCTTTTATTCCAGAATATTAATGGAAGATTTTAGAAAACATATATTTGCTTTCGGACTATATATTGGAAACCAGTTTTTGAATCAAAGGCATCCATAAATCCATGGATATTTTTCATCCAGAAACATGTCACACCATTTCTTTTAAAACAACATTACTCTCTCCATGAATGCGATAAAGATTTCACCGCACGCTTCTCAGTAAGTGAAGTTGTCTCTATGTAAAAAGCTTCTAAGAAACCAGAAAGGATTCATACACCAATGTATGCTTGTCACGATGAGTATATATACATAGAATATTCTATCTTGTGAAGATGAAAGAATGCACGCCTGAAACTTAAGATTTATTTCTAGACTCACTTTTTACTGAAAATGGACATCGGTTGCAGGAAAAGTTGTAACGTATGCATACTTTTTGGGTGCTCGTGTGGCAGCTCAAGACAAAAAATAAAAGGTATCAAAGTAAAGAATGAATCCTTCACTGCATTTTTTTCTACTGTTTGAACATTTGTTGATGTATTTCTTTTCAACTGTACAAAACTAAATTTGTGATCGTCCTGAAAAGCATTTTTTTTAATATGAATAAAAAAAACAAGTAATATTAAAGAAAAATTCCAAGTCAATTCCTACTTAGGTCAACAAAGAAAAAATTTATTTTAGTTACTTTTTATTAAATAGTTACAACTAATATAAATATGTATATACATATGACAGAATCACAATACTTAGTGACAAAATAGAAAGTGATTTTCCTTGCAGTTTTCCGTTTTCCTTTCTATGCATGGCATTTTGGACTATGTTTTGTTTGTTTGTTACGATTTATTCATGAATTAAATTGAAATTATTCCAATAAAATAGTATAGTAAAAAAGAAATCACATTCTCAGAAAATATGCCATTCCAGGTGGAATTCGAACCCACGACCTTTGGATTAGAAGTCCAACGTGCTACAGGGACACAATGAATGCTTTTTCTTTCTATATATTCTGCTGGACAATTATTTTTGTTTGTTACTATTTATCCAATAATTCAATTTAATTAATGAATTACTGTTTGAAAAAACTGTTTTAACATCAAGTGTCGTCCATTACAAGTTTAAAAAATCATTTTCTTCTATATCCTAAAATTAGCTTCCTAATTTGTGAAATAATGAAAGAATTTTCTTTTAAAAAAATTCACCGAATTTGACGTCAAGGTTATTTCGACTTGACAACACAGTTCAGTGGATGAAGTGGTAGTTCAGCGTACTGCTCTCTGAAAAATGGCTAAGTAACTTGCCAACAGCTTATAAAAAAACTTCCGCTGGGCACATAAATGTAATACGTCTCTAAATGACAACATATTCATGTTGTCCTGTATAGTCTATATCTTGGATTATTTATTAAAAAAGATCAATCACAATCTTTGTGCGCTTGCTATTAATGGTAAAATTAAGAAATGATAATTATTTCTATTTTTAAAATTTTTCTTTTATATTCTATCCCTTAGAGAGAAAATCCTTTCAAAGATTTCTGACAGTATCTGGATCCTGACCAATCTGGATCTGACAGTATCTGGATCCTGACCAATCTGGATCTGACAGTATCTGGATCCTGACCGATAGCAAGAGCTCCATCTAATATTTGATTAATTTGTCAAAGGTGATGCACACAGTACTGGTATTGATATTATTTCCAAATTGGCTAGGCTTGGTCTGAGGGAACATGTGTGTCTCCAGTGGATACCATCTCATGTGGATGTACCTGGGAACGAGACCTCTAAGGAACTGGCTGGTAAGGGCTGTGATCTCCTTGACCACAGGTCCTCTGTCTTGAGCCATTCTGAAATTCATTCCCTCCACAGAGTTAAATGGAATCTGACTTGGATAAAACATACTGCTCACCACTTGGCCTATCTCTACAGCGCAAGAGATCCAGGGCTCTTCAGACAGTCTTGGCATGCTTTAGAAGCGGTCACCTACGTGTTATGATCTTTGTGTTGGGGTAAAATCTTTTTTTACCTGTCCCTGCTTCTCCTACTAATCTTCTGGACTGCTGGAACATTTCCCTGAGACAGTTGTTTGGAGATCAAGATCTTGATTGTGGTATTCTTATGAGGAAAGGTCAAATGGACTTGGTGTAGACTTTTCTGTTCCAGGAATTGAAAGAACAACATCCTTTCAAGGATTTTACTTTGAGACAGAAAATTTTTATTGGTGAAGAAATCAATATAAAAAAAATTTCGTTCTATTTTACACAAATAATCAAGGGAATCTTGTTAATTTAGCTAATAGAATGTACAACATAATAGGTGAATTTGAGTTTTGTGAAATAGTGAAATCTGCTGTTTATTAATATGATAAAGTCGTATATGATAGGAAAATTTGGAGAATGTCAAGCCTCCGTCAAAATAGAATCCTGTGCGCTGTATCGAAGTATTGTCAGTAGTTTTAAAAGTAAAACATTTGGGATTAAGGCTGTGCATGGTTTTGAAATCTTTCAAGAGAAGCGAGTAGTTAAAGTTGAAAATTTTAAATTTTTTCTTTTATTATCGAATGTATAATTAATTCATTTTTTTTTGTTTCATTTATGAAATAATGTTGCCTAACATAATTTATTCCAATTGAAACTTAAGTAGTCCTGAAATACACATTCTAAGCTGTTTATGTATAATATTAATGCTTTTCAAGCTTTCTATGTCCATACATATTTTCTATTACCAATCAGATTTACTGTAACTCCCTTAGTATTTAAATGTGTTCCACGGCTGATAAAAATGGACATATTTTGACTCAATGCACAGATAATGAAGCATAATGCATACAGGTGTTTCAGCATAATTTAAGAGAACGTAGTTAAATATTTTATGATTGTGGTTTTGTTTTTAAGAATGCAGTTATATATATATATATATATACATACATACATACATATATATATATACATATATATACATATATATAATATACATACATACATATATATATACATATATATACATATATATAATATACATACATATATATATATATACAGTCAACCCTCCTATAACGCGGTGAGTGCGTACCGCGTTATATGGAAACCGTGCTATAATAAACTCGGATTTAACCGCAGAAACCAGGCTAATTAGTAGTGCGTTCTATGGAAACCGTCTGCCGCGTTGTATGGAAACCGCGCTATAAGAAACTCAGAATTAGTACAAATCACATCATTCGTACCGCGTTATATGGAGACCAATAAATACAAAAGACGAGATAAACTCCACCGGCGTTACTGATTTTGTTTTGTCTACGCCATGCCTGAGTGCGCGCTCCGCTTTTAATTTATTCCTTGATCAGTGTCATCACTACTTTTTTTTATTTCATAATAAAACTAGATTTTGAAGGAAGAGGTGGTGGCAAGATTTTAACATAAAATAAATACAACAGAAAGTAACATTAATGTATTACACTTCCAGATGTAAATTATTTACACTATTTCTTAAGCGTTCATTACACAAAATTTGAAACAATCACACACACACATATAAATTATTAGAATGTTATTTTGAGGGTATCTGAGCTTAGATATCTATAGAAAGTAATCCTTTTAAATATAGAATTTTGCATAGTTTTAAAATGCAAATAAATCTACCTTGGTTTCCAGATTAAAATGGATTATCGACATATATGGAGCCTTTGTTGATATATAAGTTAAATCTACTATCTCCTTATAATTCTTGAAATTCATAAGATTGTCTACTGCTCTGAAAATTACATATTACGCTGTTAAATTTTCAGGTCGAAATCGGAATAATGTAAAGCAAAGTTGTATTTTAATGTAGTATAATTTTGACGGAATTTAGAAAAAGAATTCGAGAAACCTTTACGGACATATATCCTTTCTATGAAAACTTCCATAGGTTGCATAGATACGCATGTACGCATATACGTGTGTCTCCATATTTATATATGTCTCAAAAATTCTTCAATAAAAATCCGCTTACGTCATGGATCGTGATATTAGTAGACTTCACAAATTTCAAGAAGAATCCATAGAGTCACGAACTCTCCAAAAATTATGCCAACTTGGCTCTATTGCCAAGATTATCTCCAAGTTCCCATTGATTCGCCATTATAACGTAATGCTTGCGAATATTACAATTTTAACATGATAAACATAACATAGAGTAATATAAATGCATTACACATCTAAGTACAATTTTTTTTCTCTATTTTACACAAAATTCGTAACAAAATTAAACATCCCTGTTCTAGCATATTTTCTAATTTCCAGCAACTATGAGGTATTTATAGTAATTATTGTTCCTTTTATAATCGATAGCAAAATTACTCCTAATCTCCTAATGGACGTCTATCAATATGTTTCTCTATTTTCTAAACGAATTTGCGCCGAGGAGAACCGAATGCATTAGAGCCTGCCAGCGTTCGATCAAAAAGCGCGCTCATTTTGTCTCTAATTATGCGTTTTTGAAAGAAAACTCACCACTGCACTTGAGTAACCGAGTTACTTTTAAACCAAATTCCGAATTAATGATCCCTTCGGGCGTCGAGCATCACTTTGTTCAATCAGTTGCCACAGAGCGAGAAAAGAGAGTCCATTGTATCAGCAGAAAGTTGCCTTTCACCGGCGATATGCAGAACCGATCCAACAGTTTGATAATTAGAGAGAGCGGTTAGGAACTAAGTTGTTTGCCGATAAAACTTTCTTGAACCTATTGATTCGAGATATTTTCTTGTCAGGTTTTATTTGCTCTTTTGTTGCCTTGATATGGTGTATTCTTTGGTGGTTTAGTATTCCTTTTTTTTTTTAAAAAAAAAGTGATATATAAGTTTTTAGTTTACTTCAGATCTGGAAAAAAAGGAGCTAGTCAAGGTAGACATCATGTTATGCCCTCTTATTTGCAGTTTTTCTGAATACATTATAGTTTGAAATGACTGGAAGATGACGGTAACATCTGAATTGCAACAACATTATATTAGCTTCGATACTGTATTGTGCAATAATTTGACACATATATACATATTACCTTGCTATTAGAGTTATTATTTCAGAAGACTAATATTTGCTTGATTATGAGGATTCGAATCCAGGATATGATTCTAACATCACTTACCACTTAGCATACACTACCAAAAAAGAAAATAAAAAAGCGCACATATAAAAAAATTAAAGAAAAAATATATATACAGTAGGACCTCTATTTAATGAAGTCGCTAAATCCCGAAAAAAAATTTCGTTATATGAAAAAATCGTTAAATAGAAGTTCATCTTTGAAGATATTTTATAACCCGCATAAAACAAATTTTAAATTCATAAACACTATATATTTAAAAAAAGTAATTGCTCACATCTTTTTGTAAATTAATATCTATTTATTTTATATATATTACCCATAAAAAAGAACTGCTAGGAAAACAAGGAAACAAAAGAATATCGAGGAATACACTGTATTTTCAACATTCAGAAAATAATTTTATATTAAAATTAATGCATTTTTAGAACATTTTCTAATTTAAAGCATACAAGTAATTTTAAATATACATTATTTTATAACTTTATTTATGTAACGAATATTTTTCCACAGCACTGGACAGCGAGTGTTAAAGGTTGCACTTCTTTTATGAAACGCCCAAAATTTTATTGCACTACGCGAGTTAGGCACCTAATAAGAATAATTCAAAATTTATAACCACCATCAAATGCGTTAAAAGAGAAAATAACTTGAAATACCCGGAAATACTTAAAAAAAAGAGAGAGAAAAATGAAATCCCAAGAAAAAAAAGTTCTTTACATAGAAAATGTACTTCGTTATTAACACTAGCAAGACTGAAGTTTAGTCTTTACCTACATTGCCCAAAAGCAGTTAAAATGACTGCATTGTGAAAGAATTATTACTGTGTAAATAAATTTGCTTAAAAATAATGTTTAATATTTTTTTATATTATTTACAGTCTTGTTAGTAAATATTAACAGCAAAAAATGTTTAT